TTAACCACTCGAGCGTTCTTATGAGCACTCGGTGGATCATAAGAAAAAATGCTCCATGCTGTTTTCTCTTTTATAAAATTTATTATTAATGTTTCGTTTTTATTTTGACTGTATTTGTTTTATTTCTATTGTAATGATCCTTGTTTTCGTGTGCCAATGGCCATATAAATGCATTTTTTTTCTTTCTTTCTTTCTCCAAATGTCACGTGTGCACCCGTTGGATCATAAGGAACGCAGACGCTCGACGGGTTAACAGAAACTACAGTAATATCTTTTTTGGTTTTACAGTAAAGTTTTCGCCTTTTAACCCTAATGTCAAGTTCATGAAGTTACATCGTCAACTTAAATAGTTTTTAGAGTGTAACAAAAAGGACACAAATATCAATTTAATTTAAAAGACAAACATGACTTGGTAATGGACATTAAGTTTCAAACTCACATCCCAGTTCTTAACATTTCAACAAATGCTTTTAGTTTCCTTTAGTGCCGAGAGATGGCGCTCTTATGAGGAGTAATATTAGTTCTGTTCACGAGGCGCATCTAGCATTTCGATGTATGGTTTCACGTGTTAATTATAAACATAAATACGGTCGTCCGTTTGTTGGATACTTACTCATAAACCAGTACTGCATGCTTTATAATGAAAGTCGTTAGCAGACTAAATGAAATTTAATGGTCAACATTAAGAGCGTAAACTTCGGTAGTGTTACATTTAATTGACGTTTAGTAGGAGTTCCGTGACTGTACTGCAGTCCAAGTTTAGCTCGTCTTTGATGATGATGAGTTATTCTGGAGTGTTTAATGAATGATTTGCCAGAAGAGGATTTGCTCAGCAGTGCACACTTTTAGGCTGTCGATGATGATAATGAGAGGTTTGCCTTCGATATAAAACAAATGATTATTTCTCTACGATTGTTGGTTGTACGATTGTAATTGTAAGAGACTTGAATTAAAAAAAAAATGTAGTAGTTAAGATTTCTTTTCAATAAATGGCACGAATATTTCGATTATTTTGATTTGATTTGTTGTAATAACATGGCAATAGGCTCACCCCCTATTACATGGGACTCATAACATAAATAGAGAAAAGTGGGTGTTACATTGTACAGTGGCATTAAGTACTGAAATTCCAGACTCCGTGCTATTACTGAGATATTTTTTAAATATCCCAGTAATACTTTGCAATCGAATCGAACTCAAGACCTCTTGCCCGGCTATGAGCAATGAGGCAGTCAAGTACTCTAACTATCTTAATTTAGCCGATAACCATACACCTATTATCAAGTAATAACAGAGTACCTACTAGTTTAATTCTCTGAGAAGCATTTTCTGAGACAATATTTTAAATATTTTAAAAAAATCTTTTTTAAATACAATAGAACTTTCACAATGAAGGCTCATATTTTAGTAATTAGAGCTTTATAATCTATACATAACGTTTCAAGTCAATTATCATAAAGGCATTGCAATCATAACTCAGACAATCATGTCAATTTATAAGACGTTTTTAAATACAATAAGTTTGTTAATCTGTCAGAAATGTCGTTAAGATTAATTACTTATTCTGAGGCAATTATTTCACATGTAGGTTAATGGTAAAGAAACTTCTTTTTTCAGGTTAATGCCACATTCAGGAGTGAAGTTATTATTGTATTTACAGTTATTTGGAACTTTATATAGAACTATATGAAGACAAAATGGTCAGAGGTCGACTTTGTTGTACTGGTTTGTGGGTAGAAAGTGCTTACTATTTCTACAATAAAAAAATATATAGAAATAGTAAGTAATGAATTCAGTGAGCAGGGTTACGAAAGAATTATACAGAGCGGATATGAATGGGACTGTCGGTAGGAAGCGCCCTAGACGGACATACATAATTATATTGATCAGATTGGCGATATATTAAAGATGATCCATTTTAAAAGTACCCTTAACCGACGAGCATGCATAAAAAGTATGATGACTGTTGGTGAAGCGAAAGAGGTATGTGTGTAAGAAGTGCAAACGCAACCCCCATTGGAGACCAGCGTGAGGTTATGTATGATTTGGATTCATACTCCAACATTTTGATTAAAATTTCTAATTTAGAAAGAAAATGGTATAAAGGTTTGATTGCTAATAAAATTAACATTAATATTCCCTTTCGATTTATTTTAATTAACAAAACAATAAGATAAAGTCTTCAAAATAATCTCTACAGTTGAATAAATAAACTTCCATCCCAAAAAGGTACCTGTAACCGAAAAAAATAATTCCCTATCCGAAATATTCCAATAATAACAGTAATTCCATTCATTGAAAACAGTGATTCTCTGTAATAATAATAATTATCATTATTTATTATGTAATAATATTACTCAGAAGAAGAAAACAGTGTAATAATAATTATTACAGAGAAACACTGTCACACAATACAATATGGCCGGCAATTAATTCTTATTATAATATTCTCAAGGTAACGGCGAAATATCGATTCATTCCAATTTTCGATTGTTTCGTTCGAAGCATAATGTGTGGAAGTCACGCTCATTTTCAATGTAATACTATTGTGAAATACTTGCTTCGGGACAATATAGAGAATGGTTAAAAGGACGGTAATAATAATTTACGGAACTAATTTGAACATGCTTCATACTTTCATACTGTCTTCATGCTTTTGTAGTCTCAATTATTCTATTATAGATTAGCTTCTGTCAGTAGCTTCGGGCCGGTGCCGCAGTGGTATTAAAAATTGCCTATTTATTATATCAGACCATAATCTAGCCCAAGTCCAATTTTAATCCTGACCTCTTTAACCATTTTGACATGAAGGAGTACACTCGTAAATGGGTGGTAAAAGACAATAATTGTTTCTTTTTCATCCGTACATAACTTCATTATAAAAATGGCACTAATGCAGTAACATATGCAGATACCACTGTTAAAAGTAGGTTTTAAGCTAGAATACTAATACAGGACAGTGGTGTTTCTACCGGCGAACTAGGATCATTGCGCGCTCAATATTCTAACTCACTCCCGGCTACCTACCGACAATTAATAAATTGTAATTATTATATATCACATTTTTTTTTAATTTTTTTTACTCAAAACGTCACAGTGAAAAAAAGACGTTACAGTACAATGATAGTCTCAGAAATAAAACTGAATCATTCTACTCTAAGAATATCACTTACAGTAGCGACCGACATCAAATACGATCTAATACTATCAGCAGTTACCTAAGCGAATCCAATAACCCTCTCCCTAACAATAGTTTGACAAACACATAGCTTAGTCAGATAGCATAACGCTAGTTACTTCAAAGGGAGCAGCAGGCACTTCATATGACCGCTACAGATTGAAGCCTAAAGGGTTGGTATTGAGGGCACCCTGCTTAGGGGAGAACTGGCTTAAGAGCTTAAAGGAGGCTTTGATCACAGGATATGTAACCCCATTGCTCTGTGTACTGTAGTTACTTTATAGATATGTGTTAAATCTTTGAAGTCGTTATGAAAGCATGGGAGTTGAAAATGTGATAATAATCAATGGGGGCTTTTCTCTAAGTGGGTAAAACGTAAAGTGGGTGTAAGCTTATACCAGATACAATACATAATTCTAAAATTATAATTAACAAGTTAACGTTGACAGTCAACAGAAAACTGTTCAAAATAGTTCCTCTCCTGACGTTGGGTCATGGCGTTTGGTGTGTGTTTTTTTATGGCATATGCCGTAAATGAACTGACGGATCACCTGATGGAAAGCAATCGGCGTTGCCCATGGAGACCTGGAACACCAGAAGCGTTACAAGTGCATTACCGGACTTTTAGAGGTTAGGAGTTTGAGGATTGTTGGGGATTCGAGGATTGGGGAGATTGAGGAAGGGGGAGGGAGCTGAGCCTCCGGTAACCTCACTCACATGACGAAACACAACGCAAGCGTTGCTTCACGTCGGTTTTCTGTGAGGCCGTGATATCACTCCGGTCGAGCCGGTCCATTCGAGCCGAAGCATGGCTCTCTTACACTTGTAATTTCAAGTTAAAGATCAATATGTTCGAAATGCTATTGACAAAAACGTTTTCTAATAAAATAAGTAATATCACGCATTACAGCTTATGAGTGGTACAAACATCACGCTATTTTGTTCCGCATTAGTAACTAGAACGAAATGCAACCATAAGGGTTAAAACAAAACGTCTTTATAATTGTCTTATTAAGCTTAATTAGTTCCGCGCCAGGATGCAGGCGGCTCTACAAGATGATTAGAAGGAATTAAAAATGTTACTTTATAACATCTTCAATTTCATGCCATGTGGGCTTTCGTAATAGGTCGTTGAACTTAGAAGTGATACTTATTCTATAAGGAGAATATATTTAATTAATTAATTAATTTATTATTTACGTACATACATATAGCATGAATAACACCACATAATTATAAAATTGAAGTATAAAGGTACCACTTATTCCTATTGGAGTTTCTCCCTGTGGACCTGTGGCAGGAAAGTTAATAATGATATAAGACACAATGTATAATAACAGTCAGATATTAAACATTGTATCAATTTAGAAGAATTTTGAACAAAACATTTGTAGACAGTATCTTAGTGCGCAATGTAAATTGAATGCACAACTTTTTACTTATTTAAGCAATAACTACAATTACATCAGGATTCTGTAAAGAAAACGTATTCGTGGAAAAAGAAAACGGATAATAATAATAATACGTCCAAAGTACATTTATTGTCGTACTGTTTCGTTCCAAGTTATAAATAGTCATTACATCCAACTACATAACAGCAAACGATCGTAAACACGTATTGTTAGCGCTTTAAATCTCTAAATAATTGTAGTTCCGAGTGTCAATTAGTGTCGTCGTAATAACAGCTTATCCGACTTCCATAGAATCGAATCATCGACTTCGCTAATGTACAAAATACGGATAAAGAAAACAAAAGCTTCGCACTAAATGCTCTTTCTTTTGTTACAGATAAAAATCGCTCCGATGTGAAAAGGGAACAAAGATGGACCTTAAATATCTGATCCTAATGATTGCCTTCGCTACAGTCGAAATAAATGTAACCGAGAGTCGACAGAACGACAAAAGACGATGGAAGAACGACAAGATTTACTCACACTACGTTAATATTTGTGATATACAGGACCGAGGGTCCAAAGTTCATTGTTACTGCGAGAGTATAAAGATAAAAACCGCCACAAAGGCCGATTGTTGGGTATTCAACGGCGGGATAGCTGAAGACGATCCGTTCTGGTCCAATTTTTATTCACAACCAAAAATAGAAAAGTTAACATTCAACGTCAGAGCCGACGGCGGATTGACGTACATACCCGCAAAAGTGATCGTTAGACTGGAACGATTACAATACCTCAACATACAGTACGCCAACATCTATAGTATACCATCGTTCGCGTTCACCAACTCGACCACGCTCCGGGAAATAACCCTGCCCAAGAACAAAATAGCGAAATTGGAAAAGATGTCATTCGCCCATCTAATAATGCTGTCAAACGTCAGCTTAGTGGAAAATCAGATATCTGAATTGAAACGGGACGTGTTCTACGTCCTACCCAATTTGCAGAGGCTGTATCTGTCGAAGAACATAATTAGCGTTCTCCACGACGGATGTTTCAAACATCTGAACAATCTCATAAAATTGGACCTCGACAACAATCAGTTGACAGTTGTCATTAGGGAAAACTTCCAAGGCCTGTCTAATCTGATCACGTTGGATATGAGAAACAATAAATTAACGATGATAGGGGACCTTGCCTTCGCGGAACTTTGGAGCCTTCAAGAACTTTACCTGGACGGCAACGAAATAGAATTTATATCCGAGAGGGGTTTCGGTGGATTGACTCAGCTGCGAAAACTTTCGCTGGCCGATAATAAGTTGGGGACATTAGACGACGGAGTGCTCGATGATATTCAAAAGTTGAATGTTTTGGATTTGAGGAACAATAACTTAGAAACATTGAAACAAGAAGCAGTGCAAAATGTTTTGGAGAACATGAAGTCCAATTATGCGTTAATCTCTTTAGACGGTGAGTTTAATTTTGACAAGTTTGTTCGTCATTCGTCTTTGCTTTCAGTTTTGTAATCCCTAACAAATGTCGATGTACTTTGTAACTGCTGACATTTGTTAAGATAAATACGAATTTTGTTCTTTGTTTCCGCTAACGCTTTTGAACCGAGTCGAACAAATGAGAACGTCGTGACAACTCGACCTGCTCACATCTTTGTAGGAAAGTTGTTAGAAACAGGAAACAATTTTGTTTGACATTAAAAGGGAAACGTATTGCTTATGTAATCAGTAAAGATATAAATTATGTCAAACGTGTATTACATAATGGAGTCATTATAATTAATGCAGTGCGACACGTTTGACCGAGGATTTTATTTAAAATGCAAACTACCATTTCGAGGGGTCATAAAATAGTAAAAAAACTATCATTAATAACATCTGTGTGAGCGGTTAATTACCGGACCGCAGTGATGTATGCTCCTTCAGTAACTCGTTGGGTAACATATCCCGTGTTGAAAATTAACCGGAATGGTTCAATTAACCGCACGATTAGTTGCGGACGCTATTATGTCACGGTTCTTTGGTTATCGTGATGTATTTGTATTTTATTGATAAGACATTTAGTAAATTCGGTCAAAGTTGAGATTATAAAAGTACTGAATGCAATCAAATATTATTACATTTTCGTTACAATACAATTTTGCATTATTTTTGGAAATTGACTGACTGAATGAACTCGTTTCTAAATTTGAAGGGACAGGATGTGTCACATACTCCAAACTCAAATGCCATAGTGTACCTACCTTTGCTACGATGTCAACAGCCTATGATATGAAACCAACACTTTTCTACTGAAAAACCAAATACATGTAACATAAACCACAATCGAATGGCTCATTGTAAATAATCACAGACTGCCAAGTTGAAGAAAACATAAAAAACATTGCAAATTTAAATGGTCAGTTTGTAGGTAGGTTACAATAAGCACAAAAAGTACTCAATATACAAATCTATCTGTAAACCATAGAAAAAACATTCTTACAACAGCACAGTCCCATACACTGTGCCACAAACTCTCATTAATCTTCTAACAAAATCAACTCACAACAAACTAACTGACCAAAAAACTCCGTCCACAATCCGCATACTTGAACTGCTGGACGTTAGTTACCTCCAACTACAATGAATCAGGTCTTGAAATACTGTGTTTAAGTGCCCTGTGACAATTTAATAGCACCTATATTTTGTTGCGGACTAGATGTTATATTTTCTGCAACTGGCCAGCCATTGCACTCTCTATGATTTAAAACCCTTTGTCCACTGTTAATGTAATTTTGTAGCGCATTCGTTGTGGAGATGATCCTAGTCATGTTACATGCCATCGGGTTTTGGTTTATTAAAGAAATATTTAGTGATATATATAATGGAGTTTTTTTTAATCTGACTCAAGGTTTGAGGGTTGGCTTTTCCGCAAAAAGTTAATAAGATTTAATTTTAAGCCAGATTTATAAAATACTCTCAGCAGGAAATTATTTTTTAATCACCTTTCAGAGTTTAAGTTATTTTTGTTTTAGAAACGCTACTTTCATATAAAAAATATCTTTTACCAATATTATAACGTGATTCTGTTTTCCAGGCAATAAGCTGACCTGTGACTGTCGTCTGTCCTGGTTGCACAAGCTCCGCAACGAAACGAAAAGCAAACGTGTCAAAGCTTCACTGTCTCGCCTCAACTGCATCATGGACACTAAGACAAACATAGGTACGTTAAAAATAGAAAAACCACAAAAAGCTATTCAAGGGTCATATAAAAAAGAGATAGATTATGAAGAAGAAGAATTCGAAGAGAAGCATTACGATGATGCGATGCAAGATCAAGAAACAGACAATGACGATGTTAAAATCGAGTACAAGAGGAAATTGCTTGAAATACCAACTGAGATGCTTCCTTGTCCGAACCGTTTAATTTACGAGGCATCGTTTTCACCACCCACCCAAGACGAGGTCAAGTACTACAAGACTTCATCAAGCCATATGCTAGTAGCAACAACACTGAACGTATTACTCTCCGCACTAGCAATATTGTAGCGTACAAATTGAAGTGTAAATAATTCTGTGATTTTCATTACGCATTTATTATTGAGCTGCTCTTCATTAATATTATTAAATTCATTACACACGTTGTTATTAAAATAGACTTGAATATTGTGAACGTTATTCATATTTTGAACTTAACTTGCAATTAATTTTCCATTTCAAACTCGATTGGAATTGATTTGCTTTAGTGAGTGCAGTATTTGCTCACGTGTCTTATATAAGTGCAATGCATATAACGTGACCTGAGTTTATAGGTATTAGATTTTAATACATATTTTCTTATAAGTAAGGGGTTTTTTACTAAAATTAGTCTTGTATAATCATCTTTTTCACTGATTTCTTTAAGTCTTAGATTTTAGGCTATTTATAGGAATTGATAGATTTAGGTTAATTTGGACCCAAAGAGCTAATGATGTATATAAAATACACTCATATAAGTCATGTTTTTTCTGTACATAACATTAATGACTTAAGTAAGTTTTGCAGTATACTAAGAATTTTACATTAAATCTATGGAAGAATGGAATTTGTTATTGCAATTAAGAAGAGTGTGAGAACAATGTTGCATGCTTTGAATCAATTTTGATTATTTATCACTTCACGATAGTATTAAGAAATCTCTGTTATAATTATTATTTTCCTTCAGTAAGTATTTTTTATTCTAGTGGTATGCCATGGCAAAGGAGTTTCATGCAGCAAATGAAAATATAATTATATATATCATTTTTGTGACAACTTAAATGATGCAATATTCTAGTTTTGTTTATACCTTGTATGAGCTTCATTCGATTTTAAATCATTAATCGTACTATTAAGAATTACTTTAAAATTAACAATAATATAATATTTGCTATGCCATGCCTCTAAAGTGCGTAGTATAATTTGATCACAAATATTTGACACATGTTTATTGTAAGTGAATTGACTAACCATGGAACCAGCTTGCGGTCGTGATGGTTAACAAATTATTGTTTACAGCAATCATTCATGTCCACTATAACAACTTGTTCTTGATTATTTTCCTATATTCTTACCCGAACTACTTATGAAATTGAAATAAAAATATTATTTTTCTTTCTTGTTTTAAGTGGTGTAACTAACCTTACTGCTTTATTGATATAAAATATAGTCTATTAAAGCTAGGTCACTGACCTGTATATTGTTTCTTGGTAACAAATTTTCAAAGGCAGCAATATGAGTGATATATATCCATGTTACCAACGAGTCACTTTGATTGTATTAGACCTTGAACTTGTATAAAAATTGTTGCCTTGTTATTAACAGTGAAACAAATATTGCTTTTATAATATGCTAAGTCATTCATTGGCTAGGTAGTCGTTAGACTGCCGAAGACGAAGATTTCTGTTCAAGTAATTTAAACATTTTTAGAAATATGAAATAATTCAATATATCATTGTCTAACAAGAAGGCATTATATTATAGTTTGGCAGTTGCGCTAGCAACTACTCGATCAATAAGCCAGAATATTTATAGGAAAAGAATATCCGACTTCGGCATTACATCCAGTCTTTCGCAATCACTCGCTCGCAAAAATGATTATCCTGATTCGTCTGGTTTTCAGTACGAGGAACTCAATTCAATCAATCTATAAATAAATTATTTAACCCTAATATGTCAATAGAAATTATAATTAATAAAGTTTATACATTTCAATTAATTAATCTGCCCTCAACTTTGGCAAATCCTTGAAATAGAATCCGAAGTCTACGTCACTGCCGTGGATTGAAAACTGTGTCTCTTCAGAGATTCCCATTAAAACATAAACTTTGTCAATAGTTTGAAACGTTTGATTTCTGAATGGATTCGTTAGTATTTCTTCTTTGAATTTTATTTTCAAAAGACTGTATTAGACCTAAGAGTTCAGTTTTGTAAGCTATTGTAGTAGTTTTGAATTTATTTTATCAGGTTACTTTGTTGTAATATTGGCAAAAGGGCCATTGTGTGATGAAAATAAATAATTTTATAGCTTTTTCCCACTTCCTGATACAATGGCTTTAAAAATACTGTTACATAATTATGCCTCTTTACACAGCAATCCTTTTTTTAGTTACCAATTCATAAATCGATAAACAACAATGGGGTCTACCGTTTTCTTGTCACTAGATGGCGCAAATATCGTAAGAGGACTTTTTGTTCAATTACCGCAGCTTTCGAATATGTAACATACAATAGTGTGACACTAGCTAATTCTCTATTGGATGAAAAACGAGAGACACACACTAACGCCATCTGCTGAGCAAAAATACAATTAAGAATGTTTGAACACTGTAGCTTTAAAACCAGCCTAACAATATGATTTATGGGATATTAACTAAAAATCTATGTAGATTTTATTTCAAAATTACTATAATTTAAACTGTCATACGACCTATTTATTTATTTATGCCTTATTATAAAGTCGTTAAGTGATACTAAAATTATTGTTACACTCTTTACTATGGTTGATATCTTATTTCTATAGTCGTAAGAAACTAATTTCAATAACACAAACTGGACCTTTTGTTAATAAACTAATTGTTTGTTTGTTCTTTACTGAATATTGTATGTACCAAAGATTGATTAAACATTAACGGTAGAATATTCAAACACTACTCATATTTACTCTGTTTACCTTTGGTTTTGTAATATATTGGCAGGTGTATCCCTAGACCAATAATTTTAAAAGTCTTTTAGCAACCTTACATTTCTGTACGGCTTTAAAGGTTTCAAAAATCAATATCTTTATATTTGACACGTTTCCTTCTAAATATCAGCCGCCATATTTGATACCTGTTCCCCGATCTCCCAAATCCCTGAATCCCAAACAATCCTCAAATTCCTAATGCCTAATGTAACGCCTCTGGTGATGGGCGACGAATCCTTACCATCAGGTGATCCGTCTGCTCGTTTGCCAGTTTGTTGCAAGTTCTTTTGATAAATTTTATAAAGTTCAACCTGTACATAAAGATGAAGTTGAGAAACAAATCAAGAAAACGCTTGATCTAGCAACAGGTTTTCATCAGTTATTGTTAGATCCTAAAGACACTAAAAAGACAGCATTCAGTATCACAACTAATAGCATTTCAGGTCAATTTGAATTTACCAGAATGCCTTTCGGTCTGAAAAATGCACATAACTCTACGCCATCCTAACAAATTTGGAAAAAAACTGTGAGCTGTATTTGAATATTCGACCAATATCATACCTATATAAGATTTATTTTCGCTATCATCACTCACGTGTTTCTTCACAATGTAAATAAACACATCTTCATTATCAATTATCTAACTTCTATTCAGAGTGTGGAAACAATAAATTGATACTTTTCCAAATTGGATGTTTTATTTCTTTGTCGAAATATTTTTGAGTTTTAATAACTGCCTCGTTAGGCGCGTGGTCGCAAGTACGATTGCCAGGTAAGAGGGTTTTTTGGGTTCGATTCCCGGGTCGGGCAAAGTCACTGAAGTTTTAAAAAAAAATCTTAGTAGTAACACGGAGTTTGTAATTGTGCCCGGTATATGACAATATGCTCACCCCCTTTTACATGGGAATCATAACGTAAACAGTGAAAAGTGGGTGTTACATTGAACAGTGGCATTGTGGCATTAAGCGCCGTAATGTACACCCCTTCGGGGATAAAAGTCGTGATGTTATGTTATATTTTGATAAATAAAGTAAAAATCAAACATGTTATATTAGTTAGCGCCTTTTTATTGATGGTACAAATCATTGTTTGTGTATGGAGCTACAAAAAACCAGTATAAGGTGATCCTTAAACGTGTAGAAAGATCATACAAAAGGAGACAATGATAAGCTGGATTTATGTACTGGGTAGTACCATTTTAAATCACTACATCGCGGCGCCATTGTAACGATAATGATAGCCATTGATTTTTCGTTCAATGTACTACGTTTTTAATAGGCGATAATACGAATGCCTAGGGTATACAAATTCGGAGTCATGGAAAACCGGGTTACCGGGGCTCCGGCTCGACGTGCAGGAGAAGGAACGGGGTGGTTATAGTCAGTAAGAGTCTGACACTCCTTCCCGCCTCACCCAGGCGGGAGAAGTCATTCGATGATTTTCCCCCTTAAAAAAGAGTATACAATTAATATGATTTATTTTCGATTATAAAGTCTCTTTTTTATATTTTTATGGTATTTTGAAGTATTATTTTTTTAATTTTGGGAACAGGATTTTTAAACGTTTTCATGGATGGACTGCAATTTCTCATAGACAATAAGTTTGCTTTGTTTTCTAAAGATGTTTCGAGAATAGAATATCTAGTGTGTAGCTCTTATGTGGGTGAAAAATGTAGTTCCATACGTAACTACTTATAGAACTTAAATCTTATAACAATACAAGGATTTAGGTCTGTCTAGAAAACAACAAACCAATTCTATTTCAGGAACATCACCATTATCAACAAAGGAAAATAAATCATTGTTCAAGTTATTAAAAAGCGAAGAAAAACAATAATTTCTCCTTCTCAATACAAAAAAAGTTGCTACACCCAAAGAAACGGTTACAATTTTCTTTCTTTCTTTCATTTCATATAATTGTCATCAAAATAAACCAAAAAGGTAAAAACGTACGAAATGAATTGTGGTCGGAATACATAATTAATGTCTGTGGCGATCAAAGAAAAAAAAACAGAACATGATGTCTACCTTTGTCGTGCGATGCTTTTGACGGATGCTAATGTAGGTCTCAGGCGAGGTAGCTTCGGATTAGATTGTAGATACTGTGATATGTTGTATAGTGCCGGAGGTTAACGACGCCTGCTTCTCATGCATATAGCTGTGGGTTCGAAACCTATGTGAATTTTTAACGGCAAGCACCAATGTGACTTTTTCCAAGTTATACATATATATACAAATAGTGAATGAAAACATCGTGAAGAAACCTGGGCTTATAATGTCTAATTATAATTTTGAAATCGCCAACCCACATTGAGTAAATGTGGTTATTAATGCTCAAACCTTCTCCG